GGGCGAGAGGCATGCCTCTGCTCAGCGTTCATAGAGGTTTTAGTTACAGGAAAATAAATAAATTAATTAATAAATCAATTAAATAAATGCCACCTAACCGGCGATCTCCCAGAATGCCATCCATTTCTGGCAGTTTTAATGAAAACTCCAGACATTAAACGCCCGCATTATTTCAGGAGACACGCCTCCTGCCACCAAAAACTGACCGAATTGCATATTTAGAAGGAAGATGTTAAGAGATGTACTTCTTAGAATTTATTCTGCTGCTTTGCCATTAAGACTCTTGGGGGGGAGGGAGGGACAGGAGTTAAACGGAGGGAGAAATGCTACCTCACAAAAGTAAGCTTGGTTTTTCAGTATTAAAAAAAAACAAACAAACAAAAAACAAAAACCTAGAGGAAGCAGATCAATTAAAATTGAAACTACAACAAGCGCTTCCCTTTTCTGGATTTTAAAAGTGTACTCTAAATGGCCCAGTGCATCTCCTCTGTCTGATAGGCTCCTAGGAGCCCCTGCAGCTGTGTCTTCCAACTGAAAGCCAGTACTTTCCTTTACTTAGAAGAGCACAAAAGACAAGGGCTGGGGTGGAGTCAGAAAGATCTCTGAAGGGGAAAGCTGAGACAAATTTGCATCACAATGAAAACACTACACCGTCAACCACTTCTGGGGAGAAGGTCTTGATCCTCCATGCTTCCCCTCAGGGGAAGAGAAAGGGTCCTGGGAGTGCCAGGTGTGAAAAGCTAGTAGCATTGCTCTTTGTGTGTGACAAGCTGGAAAAGAAGGTTTGGGAACAAGGAGTGCTGGTTGGGCAGGGAAGAGAGCAAAGAGCTGGAGGGAAGGGGAAAGAAGAGCAGGTACGTGCTCTCCACCGAACATTTCAGTCGTGTCTCTGCCCTTTGGGAGGGACGGCATTTGGCAAGCCGGGAGGCTGGGCAATTCATCTGCACACACACAGCATCCCAAACTGTCTCTGGGATGTCAGGAGAAACGCTGAGGGTTTAGCTGGCCAGCAGCAAGTTCCTCTAGTAAGAACAAGTTGGGACTTGGGAGACATTTCAGTTAGTAAAATCTTGCCCCCTGAGCTTGAGGAGCCCAGTTTGATCCCTAAAACCCAGCTTGAAGGAGGGGTGAATGGGGTTCATGTTTACTAGGAAGGCATAGTTTAAGCATCCCTGGGGCTTCTGGGCAGCCCGCATAGCCTCATGGGAGAATTCAAGACTAATGAGAGACAACTGTTTGGAGGGAAAGGTGTATAGATTGAAGGGATGACACTTGAGGCTGTCTCCTGACCCCACCCCCACACAGGTATATGCACATGCACCCACATGCATATGCACTCACACACTCATACATACATACACGAAAACACACTCTAAGCACATCTTTGTGTGCCAGAGATTTGTTAAGAGGCATTCTCAGTGGAAGGTATATGTGTGTATTTCTCTCACACACATTGGTTTATATACAATGTGTATGTCTAATATAAGTTTCATAAGTGCATTATGTGTCCCAGTCTGAACTGGAATTATTTTTTTAGCATAACAGGAGGAGTAGAAGTAGAAGGCAAGACCCATGCCTTTGCTGCAAGAAGTCTCTCTAGCAACCACAGCAGGACCTCATCCACAAAGGAGAAGACAGTAGCATTTGCTGAACAATGAAGGAATGGTTCACAAACTTGGCCCCTGAGGCTTTGGCCTTGAGAATTTCAAGAATGTACAAGCTCTGCAGAACTCTCTTATGTCTATGGATCCTAGACCCATGGTCCAGCCTCACCCTGAGAAGCTTGGAGTCTCTCCCTCAGCAGTAATTCTGAACATGGAACATAACAGGCTGGGTTTCCCACATCAAACTGTAAGTGTAAATTGCCAGAGGAACTTCTAAACCCTAGACTTACCCTGGACATTTCATTCAGAACCTTGACGCTGGCACCTAAGTCACAGGCAAGCGACCCAGCTTCCCAGGAAATTCCAATGCCCAAGACACATGAGAACCAGTTTTAAGAGCCGGGGTTTTAGTGGGTGCTGCCTGTTCACTAAGCAGCAGCAGTGCTTCCTTGAACAGAACAGAAACCCCTCTGGAAGCCAAGATACCTCTGTTTGGACAAACTCTCTAGTTGACCGAGTCCCTACCAAACTTTGAGAAGCAACAATGGCAGACCATCTGGTTCTGGGGGTCTGAAGTGGGTCCTGGGGTTGTCATTTCTAACCCTCTGCCAAGGGAGGTAGATGGTACTGATCTAAAAAATTGTGACAAGCCCACAGACATTTTCTGTCTGAGGCTCTGCCACGTTCTTTGTTGACTAGGACTTCTCAACCTGGTGCCCCCAGCCAGTAAATGATGGGAGAGTTTCATACAGAAAGACAACGATGAGAAAAAATGAGACTAGGGGAGCACCCTGCTTACAATAAAACTTTGTTATGTCTTCTGTGGCACTAATAATCACCTTCGAACACATTGATGATGACATTACCAAATGGCATACATTATCTTAATAAATACTGATAAATGTAACTAGTTTAAGTGCAGCTGTCACTCCTTTTTGCAGTGGATGAAGGTTGATATGGAGATACACAACTGGTCAGAGTGCTAAGAATAAGTAATTGTGAACTGCTTAGCTCTCAACTATATTGGACCACCTCCCTCAAAGCTCAAGAACATCATGGAAGGAAGAAAAAGATTGTAAGAGTCAGAGAACAGGGAGGAATGTATACAGTAGTGTCCTCTAGCCACAACAAGGTCAGTACAACAGTAACTCATAGCAGCTGTGGTTGCCTGCAGAAGACCTTAATAGAGTCAGTCCCGGCATGAATGCGACAGTGTATCAAAAGGTTCCACCCAGGAGATACTGAAAGGTGATTCTTACTGAGGGATGGAGAATTTGTTTTCTTCAGGGTGTGGCCCTGGTAGGTTGTCTATATTCCAGTGGATGATTATACATTCATGACCACACAAACACCATGAATTGGACTGGTTGGGTTTCAAACAAATGAGAAGGGCACATGAAGTTGAACAGAGTATACTGGGGTCTAGGAAGAGTAGGAGGCAAACAGGGGTGAGAGAGAGGGATTGTGTATGACTACAAAATATTGTGTGCATGTTTGAAATTCTCAAGGGATACATACGCATTTTTATGTGTCTTTTTATAATAGATGGATGCTACTATGGAGACCCACAAGGTGTCAAAATGCATAGAATAAATGACTGTGGTGTGCCTAGCCCCACTTGGTAAATTTACAATGCAGCCCTTATACTTAAGGTTCAAGGATCATTGCTGAAGAGGGTAATTGGATTCTAAGAGCCAGAGCACAAGACAGGACATCTTCTGGGAGACAGAAACTTTATATGTGACAGGGAAACTGCACCCATGAAACCTCAACAATGTGTCTGCCTTAACATGATCTGAAAAACAACAAGTTGAAATCCCAACTTGTCAATGTAGATGGAGGAGACTTCACAGGGCCCCAGCCCCAGATAAAGACCTACAGGTTTCTGAGAGAGGAAAAAGGATCAGGTTTGTCCAAGGATGTGCTCCCCAAGAGATTTTGCAAACCCAAGTGGTCATCCATAAATACATGTACATATGAGCAACACTAGATGGACTTGGCTCTCTCTCTCTCTCTCTCTCTCTCTCTCTCTCTCTCTCTCCTCTCTCTCTCTCTCACTCTCTCTGTGTGTAATCAATTATAATTGAAGAAGAAGAGGTCATAAATTTGAGAGGTGACACAGAGGAAGAGTTGGAATATGGAGAGGGAGTACTGGAAACAATGTAAATACAGCTCACTTATATGAAAATTTTAATAACAAAAATTAATTTAAAAAAGGAATAACCCAACTAACATGCTAATTAACTAATTAAATAGGAAAATTACTCAATATTTCTGTATTTGAATAGTGTGTAACTCAGGAAAGCTACAGTTTGTAAACACCTTGCTTTTATGTTTATCTGTTGAAAAGACTAATCTTAGAGTACTAATTCTGTTGAATGTGAACATCTATACAGTTTCCTTAAATTGTTCCCAAACCTGTAGAAATTTTGGAAAATGCCATATTACCTCTAGACAGTTTGAAAGCAAAGATGTCCAAGTCAAGAGTAGGCATTTAGGAGGAGTTCAGTGAAATTTTTAATGAGGAGAAGGGGAAGGAGAAAGAATTAATGGTATCATACATTCGCTCTAAATTTAACACAGCCTGCTGTTTCTATTTGTTCAAAAGTCTCCATCACTTGGCCTTTCCATGATGCCACCCTTACCAGTACCTGTTGAGCAGCATGGCTATGTTCACTGCTGTAAGCCTGGCAATATCCCAAACCCGTATGCCCTAGTATTATTGCAGCCACCGGGCAGACAAACTCTCTGAGTGCTTCAAATGTTGCTTGTCAGCTGAAGGTCTGGATTTAGTGTACTTTTGATTAATCTCAATTTAAATAGCCACATGTTACTGGAGACTACCTTATCAGGCTGCACAGCTGCACAAGCCCATCTATAGCTCATAACAAATGGTCCAGAGGTGCTGTGGTCCATCACAGGGGCTGATGGGGTAATAAATGTCTAAGAACAGCTCATCATTTGTGCAAAGTGGGAATCTGGGTG